TGAGGGGTACTGTGTTTCCAGGTGACATGAGGTGTACTGTGTTCCCAGGTGACATGAGGGGTACTGTGTTCCCAGGTGACATGAGGTGTACTGTGTTCCCAGGTGACATGAGGGGTACTGTGTTCCCAGGTGACATGAGGGGTACCATGTTCCCAGGTAACATGAGGTGTACTGTGTTCCCAGGTGACATGAGGGGTACTGTGTGTCCCAGGTGACATTGAGGGGTACTGTGTTCCCAGGTGACATGAGGTGTACTGTGTTCCCAGGTGACATGAGGGTACTGTGGTTCCCAGGTGAACTGAGGGGTACTGTGTCCCAGGTGACATGAGGGGTACTGTGTACTGTGTGTGTTGAGGTGTACTGTGTTCCCAGGTGACATGAGGGGTACTGTGTTCCCAGGTGTTGAGGTGTACTGTGTTAGGTGTTGATGGTGTACTGTGGTGTTGAGGTGTACTGTGAGTGGGTACCTTGTGTCCCAGGTGACATGAGGGGTACTGTGTCCCAGGTGACATGAGGGGTACTGTGTTCCAAGGTGACATGAGGTGTACTGTGTTCCCAGGTGACATGAGGGTGTACTGTGTTCCCAGGTGACATGAGGGGTACTGTGTTCCCAGGTGACATGAGGGGTACTGTGTTCCCAGGTGACATGAGGTGTACTGTGTTCCCAGGTGTTGAGGTGTACTGTGTTCCCAGGTGACATGAGGTGTACTGTGTTCCCAGGTGTTGAGGGGTACTGTGTTCCCAGGTGACATGAGGGGTACTGTGTCCCAGGTGACATGAGGGGGTACTGTGTCCCAGGTGTTGAGGGGTACTGTGTCCCAGGTGTTGAGGTGTACTGTGTTCCCAGGTGACATGAGGGGTACTGTGTTGGTGTTGAGGGGTACTGTGTTCCCAGGTGTACATGTGGTGTTGGGGTACTGTGTGGTGTTGAGGTGGTACTGTGTGGTGTTGAGTGTTCTGTGTAGTGTTGACAGTGTGTGTTGAGGGGTACTGTGTGGTGTTGAGGTGTACATGAGGTGTAGGGGTGTTCCCAGGTGACATGAGGTGTACTGTGTTCCCAGGTGACATGAGGGGTACTGTGTTGAGGGGTACTGTGGTGACATGAGGGGTACTGTGTGGTGTTGAGGGGTGAGTGTTGAGGTGTACTGTGTTCCCAGGTGACATGAGGTGTACTGTGTTGTGGTGGTGACAGGGGGTACTGTGTTGAGGGGTACAGGTGTGTTGAGGTGTACTGTGTGGTGTTGAGGTGACTGTGGTGTTGAGGGGTACTGTGTTCCCAGGTGACATGAGGGGTACTGTGTTCCCAGGTGACATGAGGGGGTACTGTGTGGTGTTGGTGTAGTGTTGAGGTGTACTGAGTACTGGGTACTGTGTGGACATGAGGGGTACTGTGTCCCAGGTGTTGAGGGGTACTGTGTGGTGTTGAGGGGTACTGTGTTGAGGGGGTACTGTGACATGAGGGGTACTGTGTTCCCAGGTGACTGTGGTGTTGAGGGTTACTGTGGTGTTGAGGGGTACTGTGGTGTTGAGGGGTGACAGGTTGAGGTGTACTGTGGTGTTCCCAGGTACTGTGGTGTGACTGGGGGTACTGTGGTGTTGAGCATGAGGGGTACTGTGTTCCCAGGTGACATGAGGGGTACTGTGTTCCCAGGTGACATGAGGGGTACTGTGAGGGTGGTGTTGAGGGGTACTGTGTCCCAGGTGACATGAGGGGGTACTGTGTGGTGGTGACAAGACGAGTACTGTGTTGGTGTTGAGGTGTACTGTGTTCCCAGGGGTACTGAGGGGTTGAGGTGTTCTGTGGTGTTGAGGTGTACTGTGTGTTCCCAGGTGACTGTGTGTGTTGAGGGGTACTGTGTTCCCTGTGTGTGTTGAGGTGTACTGTGTGGTGTTGAGGTGTACTGTGTTGGTGTTGAGGGTACTGTGTGGTGTTGAGGGGTACTGTGTAGTGTTGAGGTGTACTGTGTGGTGTTGAGGTGTACTGTGTGGTGTTGAGGGGTACTGTGTGGTGTTGAGGGGTACTGTGTAGTGTTGAGGTGTACTGTGTGGTGTTGAGGGGTACTGTGGTGTTGAGGGGGTACTGTGTGGTGTTGAGGTGTACTGTGTGGTGTTGAGGTGTACTGTGTGGTGTTGAGGGGTACTGTGTGGTGTTGAGGGGTACTGTGTAGTGTTGAGGTGTACTGTGTGGTGTTGAGGTGTACTGTGTGGTGTTGAGGGGGTACTGTGTGGTGTTGAGGGGTACTGTGTGGTGTTGAGGGGTACTGTGTGGTGTTGAGGGGTACTGTGTGGTGTTGAGGTGTACTGTGTGGTGTTGAGGGGTACTGTGTGGTGTTGAGGGGTACTGTGTGGTGTTGAGGTGTACTGTGTAGTGTTGAGGTGTACTGTGTAGTGTTGAGGTGTACTGTGTGGTGTTGAGGTGTACTGTGTGGTGTTGAGGGGTACTGTGTAGTGTTGAGGTGTACTGTGTGGTGTTGAGGGGTACTGTGTGGTGTTGAGGGGTACTGTGTGGTGTTGAGGGGTACTGTGGTGTTGAGGGGTACTGTGTGGTGTTGAGGGGTACTGTGGTGTTGAGGGGGTACTGTGTGGTGTTGAGGGGTACTGTGTAGTGTTGAGGTGTACTGTGTAGTGTTGAGGTGTACTGTGTGGTGTTGAGGGGTACTGTGGTGTTGAGGGGTACTGTGGTGTTGAGGGGTACTGTGTGGTGTTGAGGTGTACTGTGTGGTGTTGAGGTGTACTGTGTGGTGTTGAGGGGTACTGTGTGGTGTTGAGGGGTACTGTGTAGTGTTGAGGGGGTACTGTGTGGTGTTGAGGTGTACTGTGTGGTGTTGAGGGGTACTGTGTGGTGTTGAGGGGTACTGTGTAGTGTTGAGGTGTACTGTGTAGTGTTGAGGTGTACTGTGTGGTGTTGAGGGGTACTGTGTGGTGTTGAGGGGTACTGTGTGGTGTTGAGGGGTACTGTGTGGTGTTGAGGGGGTGCTGTGTGGTGTTGAGGGGTACTGTGTGGTGTTGAGGGGTACTGTGGTGTTGAGGGGTACGGTGGTGTACTGTGGTGTTGAGGGGTACTGTGTGTGTGGTGAGGGGTACTGTGGTGTTGAGGGGTACTGTGGTGTTGAGGGGTACTGTGTGGTGTTGAGGGGTACTGTGGTGTTGAGGGGTACTGTGTGGTGTTGAGGTGTACTGTGTGTGTTGAGGGTACTGTGTGGTGTTGAGGGGTACTGTGTGGTGTTGAGGGGTACTGTGGTGTTGAGGGGTACTGTGTGGTGTTGAGGGGTACTGTGTGGTGTTGAGGGGTACTGTGTGGTGTTGAGGGGTACTGTGTGGTGTTGAGGGGTACTGTGGTGTTGAGGTGTACTGTGTGGTGTTGAGGGGGGTGCTGTGTGGGTGTTGAGGGGTACTGTGTGGTGTTGAGGGGTACTGTGTGGTGTTGAGGGGTACTGTGTGGTGTTGAGGGGTACTGTGTGGTGTTGAGGGGTGTTGAGGGGTACTGTGTGGTGTTGAGGGGTACTGTGTGGTGTTGAGGGGTACTGTGTGGTGTTGAGGGGTACTGTGTGGTGTTGAGGGTACTGTGTGGTGTTGAGGGGTACTGTGGTGTTGAGGGGGTGCTGTGTGGTGTTGAGGGGTACTGTGTGGTGTTGAGGGGTACTGTGGTGTTGAGGGGTACTGTGGTGTTGAGGGGTACTGTGTGGTGTTGAGGGGTACTGTGGTGTTGAGGGGTACTGTGGTGTTGAGGGGTACTGTGTGGTGTTGAGGGGGTACTGTGTGGTGTTGAGGGGTACTGTGGTGTTGAGGGGGTATTGAGTCATATAATAGAACATATGAACCTACGAAATGTTATAGATATATAATATGCGAATTTTTGTTAATCAACTTAAAATAAAATTAGATTTTCTCCAAGTGTAAAGATTTTGCTCATTGTGTTGTGTGATGGTTCAGGTCTGATGAAGCTTCAGGAGATCATCAGGTCGCCGCCCAGCAAGACCATAGAGATGTACATCAGACAAGGTCACCCCCACAACTACAGGGACATCCTCAAGGAAGTCAAACATAAAGAAATTTTCAGTATTATCGTCGACACCTTACCCAATAATATGAGGGACTTTCTGCGTTGTGTGAGTTTGTTTGTTTGTGTGTGTTTGTGTGTGTGAGTGTGTGTGTGTGTGTGTTTGTGTGTGTGTGTGTGTGTGTGTGTGTGTGTGTGTGTGTGTGTGTGTGTGTGTGTGTGTGTGTGTGTGTGTGTGTGTGTGTGTGTGTGTGTGTGTGTGTGTGTGTGTGTGTGTGTGTCTGTGTGTGTCTGAGTGTGTGTGTGTGTTTGTTTGTGTGTGTGTGTGTGAGTGTGTGTGTGTGGTGTGAGTGTGTGTGTGTGTGTGTGTGTACTCACCTAGTTGTGTTTGCGGGGGTTGAGCTCTGGCTCTTTGGTCCCGCCTCTCAACTGTCAATCAACTGGTGTACAGGTTCCTGAGCCTACTGGGCTCTATCATATCTACATTATAAACTGTGTATGGAGTCAGCCTCCACTACATCACTGCCTAATACATTCCATTTAATAACTTCTCTGACACTGAAAAAGTTCTTTCTAACGTCTCTTTGGCTCATCTGGGTACTAAGTTTCCACCTGTGTCCCCTTGTTCGTGTCCCACCCGTGCTGAAGAGTTTGTCTTTGTTCACCCTGTCAATTTCCCTGAGAGTTTTGTAGGTGGTTATCATGTCTCCCCTTACTCTTCTGTTTTCCAGGGACGCGAGGTTCAGTTCCTTTAGCCTTTCCTCGTAGCTCATACCTCTCAGTTCCGGGACCAGTCTGGTGGCATACCGCTGAATCTTCTCTAACTTTGTCTTGTGTTTAACGAGGTATGGACTCCAGGCTGGAACTGCATACTCCAGGATTGGTCTGACATATGTGGTATACAGGGTCCTGAACGATTCTTTACACAAGTTTCTGAATGCCGTTCTTATGTTATCCAACCTAGCATATGCCGCTGATGTTATCCTCTTGATATGAGCTTCAGGGGACAGGTCTGGCGTGATATCAACCCCCAGGTCTTTCTCTCTCTCTCTCTGACTCTTGAAGTATTTCATCTCCCAAGTGATACCTTGTATCTGGCCTCCTGCTTCCTACCCCTATCTTCATTACATTACATTTGGTTGGGTTAAACTCTAACAGCCATTTGTTCAACCATTCCTGCAGCTTGTCCAGGTCTTCTTGAAGCCTCAAGCTGCCCTCCTCTGTCTTAATCCTTCTCATAATTTTGGCGTCGCCAGCTAGCATTGAGAGGAATTGTGTGTGTGTGTGTGTACTCACCTAATTGTACTCACCTAATTGTGCTTGCGGGGGTTGAGCTCTGGCTCTTTGGTCCCGCCTCTCAACCGTCAATCAACAGGTGTACAGATTCCTGAGCCTACTGGGCTCTCTCATATCTACATTTAAAATTGTGTATGAAGTCAGCCTCCACCACATAACTTCCTAATGCATTCCATCCGTTAACTACTCTGACACTGAAAAAGTTCCTTCTAACGTCTCTGTGGCTCATGTGGGTACTCAGTTTCCACCTGTGTCCCCTTGTTCGTGTCCCACCAGTGTTGAATAGTTCATCCTTGTTTACCCGGTCGATTCCTCTGAGGATTTTGTAGGTTGTGATCATGTCTCCCCTTACTCTTCTGTCTTCCAGTGTCGTAAGGTGCATTTCCCGCAGCCTTTCCTCGTAACTCATGCGTCTTAGTTCTGGGACTAGTCTAGTGGCATACCTTTGGACTTTTTCCAGCTTCGTCTTGTGCTTGACAAGGTACGGGCTCCATGCTGGGGCCGCATACTCCAGGATTGGTCTTACATATGTGGTGTACAAGATTCTGAATGTGTGTGTGAATTCTGTGTGTGTGTGTGTGTGTGTGTGTGAGAGAGAGAGAGAGAGAGAGAGAGATGTGGAGCAACCATAAACAAGAAGGGTAGTAACAGGTGGCTTCTGGTCGTCCACAGCTCCTCCAGCTCCAGATGAACGACTACAGGTACCACTACCTCTTCACTACCTTCGTGAGTATCTACCTCCTCTATCGCTTCGCTAGGCTTGGTTAGGCCGGGTTAGGTTTGGTTAGGCCAGATTTGGTTAGGCCACGTTTGGTTAGGCCAGATTTGGTTAGGCCACGTTTGGTTAGGCCAGAGTTGGTTAGGCCACGTTTGGTTAGGCCAGATTTGGTTAGGCCACGTTTGGTTAGGCCAGATTTGGTTAGGCCACGTTTGGTTAGGCCAGATTTGGTTAGGCCATGTTTGGTTAGGCCAGATTTGGTTAGGCCAGGTCAGGTTAAGGTTGAGGGTTGCCTTAGGTTTAATATCGGGCACCAGCCCTCTTAACCCGTACAGCTCTACGCAGACTTCCTTGTGTTACAGACTCTGTAAGCCAAGGCTGAATTTCACCGCCTGAGTATACCCCTCTATACATCGTATGTATACGCAGATGGGGTGTATACCCCTCTATACTGCATGTATACTCAGATGGGGTGTATACCCAAAGGTGTATAACAGTCGTTATTATTATAACGTTAGACATGTTTCGAGAAACCTGTCGCTTTTATTATATAAATAAAAATATTTAGAGACATTTTGAGAGTCCAAACGACTCTAAGACTCTTAACCTCTCCTTAAGACACCTTATAGAGCCTGGTTAAGACTGCTAACGACTCTAAGACTCTTAACCTCTCTTTAAGACACTTTATAGAGCCTGCTTAAGCCTGCTAATGACTCTAAGACTGTTAACCTCTCTTTAAGACACCTTATAGAGCCTGGTTAAACCTGCTAATGACTCTAAGACTCTTTACGACTCTTTCAGACCATTAACAACTGCTTATGACGGTTAATGGATCTTTAAGACGGTTACCGGCTCTATATAAAGATTCTAGACGATTCGCTAAGATTCTTAATGACTCTATTGGACTCTAGACGATTCTCTAAGATTCTTAACGACTCTATTGGACTCTAGACGATTCTCTAAGATTCTTAACGACTCTACTGGACTCTAGACGATTTTCTAAGATTCCTAACGACTCTATTGGACTCTAAACGACTCCTTAGCAGATTCTTATTAAATGTAAATGTCGCGAATTTTTCTTAATTAGGTTCAAACAACTTTGTGAAGAAAAATACATTAAATTATAAAGAATTTTAACTAGGGAAAAAAAACATTTTAAACTTTGTTGTGTAGTTAAAACTACTTTTTAAGTAAGGCGGAAAGGTTGACTTACTTCATAAACACCTTTGTGTATATTATGAGGTAGAACTACAATGTGATGGGGTAGATAAACTAGTAAATATTTTAGAGTAGATAAATACGTAGATGAGTAGATAAATATGTAGATATAGTAGATACAGACGTAGATATAGTATATATATATCTACGTAGATATAGTAGATAAAAACGTACATAGAGTATATAAATTCGTAGATATAGTAGACAAAGATGTAGATCGAGTAGATATATACGTAGATATAGTAGATAAAGACGTGTATATAGTAGATAAATATGTAGATATAGTAGATAAAGACGTAGATTGGGTAGATATATACGTAGATATAGTAGATAAGGACGTGTATATAGTAGATAAAGACGTAATTATAGCAGATAAATATGTAGATATAGTAGATAAAGACGTAATTATAGAAGATAAATATGTAGATATAGTAGATAAAGACGTTGATAGAGTAGATAAAGACGAAGATAGAGTAGATAAAGACGAAGATAGAGTAGATAAAGACGAAGATGGAGTAGATAAAGATGGAACGTAGATAAATATGAATATAATGAAGTAGATATTAACAATAAGTTAAAACAAGACTTTTGGATAAAGTTAACATCAGACTTTAACTCCAAGATTAGACTTTAATACCAAGTTAAAACCCAGACGTAATATCAGCCTTTAACTTGGAGTTAATACAAGATTATACCAGCAAGTTAAGACTGGACTTGGATACTAGGCTAAGACTAGACTCATTAAGTCATTAACATAAGACTGGACTCATTAAGTCATTAACATAAGACTGGACTCATTAAGTCATTAACATAAGACTGGACTCATTAACTCATTAACATAAGACTGGACTCATTAACATAAAACTGGACTCATTAACTTATTAACATAAGACTGGACTCATTAACTTATTAACATAAGACTGGACTCATTAACTTATTAACTTAAGACTGGACTTATTAACACATTAAGATAAGACTGGACTCATTAACTTATTAACTTAAGACTGGACTTATTAACACATTAAGATAAGACTCATTAACTTCAACAACAGTTATGAGTATGAACAATCAGACCCACATTTTAAGCTTCCTAGAAGAAGTTAGTTGTGGCAATAGGAGTCAACCCTACTTAAAGGCGAGCATAGGTTGGTCGACCGTAATCACCCTATGACACAATCCAACCACAGTTCAGCATGTGTAAATAACATGAGGCTAACTACAACAGTCTGCCCTGCCTCGGAGAGACAGACAGACACAGATACTCAAGTGATGTCTCTCCTGCCCGCAGGACATCGAGACGTTCGACCTGGAAGACTTCAAGTACAACTACGTCAACATGACAGCCTTCAGGATCGTCGACACCAGCAACTCACAAGTCCTGAAGATCCTCAGGGATATGGAGAAGTTCCAGCCCATTGGTCACTCTATCCTCAACAAGTCCTCCATTATCAAGGTCAGAGGTCAGCCTTGAGGGTGGTGGAGGGGCAGTTATAAGGAGACAACAGAACTATTCTAAGTGCTTTGTTAAGGTCGGAGTGTGTGATTAAGATGAGACTTACATCTCAGTGTCTGATTATAATTGTTATTTTCCTTTGTTTCCACCTTGTCAATCAATCTAAGTATTTTATACGTCTGTATCATGTCCCCACTTTGCCCTCCTCCTTTCTAACGTCGTCAGGTTTAGTTCCTTCAGTCTGGCTTCATCTCTAGCAGCTCAGGGACCAGCCTCGTTGTAAACTTTTGCACCTTTAGGAGCTTCGGTTTTTTTATGAGACTCCAAGAAAGGGCTGCATACTACAGGATTGGTCTTACATATGTGGTGTACAAGATTCTGAATGATTCCTTACACAGGTTCCTGAACGCTGTTCTGATGTTAGCCAGCCTCGCATATGCCGCAGATGTTATTCTCTTTATGTGGGCTTCAGGAGACAGGTTTGGTGTGATATCAACTCCTAGATCTTTCTCTCTGTCCGTTTCATGAAGGACTTCATCTCCTATTCTGTATCCTGTGTCTGGCCTCCTGTTGCCACCGCCTAGTTTCATGACCTTGCATTTACTCGGATTGAACTTTAGTAGCCATTTGTTGGACCATTCATTCAGTCATCCTCTGTTTCACTCCTCATAATTTTTGCATCATCACCCCTCTAATTCTTGCCTGATTTTTGTTGCCTGGTCGTAGAATTCAGGGTAGGAGAGGAGGGAGGGCTTGGTGGGTTAGGGGAGAAGGGAGGTCTTGAGGAGTGGGGGGAGGGTGGACTAGATGGGCACTAGTGGGGGCTGGCGGGGGGCTGGCGGGGGGGCTGGCGGGGGGCTGGCGGAGGGCTGGCAGGGGGCTGGCGGGGGGCTGGGGCAGGTAGGGCTTCTATTGGATAGGAGGTGGGTGTGATCCTCCTCCCACTGGGGCTGTTGAGCTGCCTGTGGAGGGTTCCCCACTCCCCTTTGGGATTGTAGGGTTATGGGGTGTGGTTCCTTGATTCCTGTCTTTCCACCTGCACTCCTTCCTTGCTGCTGCTGCCCTCAATCTCTCCTCCCTTGTCATATCCCTCTGCACGAATACTGTTTTGAACTTTGTTACATTGAATAATCCGCTCTTCCTTGCTAAAATGTCTTCTTCTGTGTCCTCGATTTTAAAAACCATTGTTATCAATCGGTCTCTGTCCTTGTTGATAACCTTTTCTATGTTCTGTTCTTCCCTCTCCATCTGTACTCTTTAAGGATCTCTTTAACTGTGGCTTTGTCCTTATCTCTCCACTCCCTTGGACTGGCCCCTGTGTTTCCTTAATACCTACTACGACTACTGCTCTTTTCCTCTCTATCAGTCGGCTAGGTCATCTTGATGCTTCCTGAGAAGTATCAACCTTCATGACAATTTCCCGTACTGCAAACATTGCTTAGGGGGTTAATTAGAACGAGCGGGTTCGTTCGGTTAATTAGAACGAGCGGGTTCGTTCGGTTAATTAGAACGAGCGGGTTCGTTCGGTTAATTAGAACGAACGGGTTCGTTCTAATTATGTCTGCAAATTAGGGTCGAATTGTCGAAGTGGCTTCTATATATAGGTTACCATCTTCGTGAAGTCTGGGTCGTGTCAGGTGTTGGGGAGGAGTCTCTTCCAGGCTTCTAATCTCCTCCCTTGTCTCATTCAGCTCCTCCTGCAGGTAGGTTACTCTCTCCTTCATCTCCTCAAGTTCTTCACTGAGTGGGCTGCACATTAGAACGAGTGTCTTCTTAAACGGGTCATCTTGTCCTTCACCTCCCTCTGTGTTATGTCGACTCCTTCACATGTTTGTTACCTGTTCCAATTCCCCAATCCAATGTGAGTGTGTGTGTGTGTGTGTGTGTGTGTGTGTGTGTGTGTGTGTGTGAGGGAGGGAGGGTGGAAAAGAAGGAACTAATGAAAGAATGAATGAAGTAATGAATGCATGAGTGTCTTCTCCCAGACCCCCACCTCGCCTCTCCCATCAATAACCAAAGACTAATTATCTCTCCATGATGGATTATTCCCCAAGCTAATTAATGAGATCTCCCAAACTCCAGTGTTGCCATGGGCGGCACATTGGTAAGGCACTGTGTACCTACTGCCCCAGGGGGGAGGGGGGGGCAGAGACCTTGTTTGCCCCACACCTACACCCCCACACACCCCCACACACACCCCCACACACCCTCACACACCCCCACACACACCCCACACCCCCACACACCCCCACACACCCCCCCACATACCCCCCACACCCCCCACACCCCCCACACACCCCCCACACCCCCCACACACCCCATACACACCCCCCACACACCCCCACACATCCTCACACACCCCCCACACACCCCCATACACCCCCACACACCCCCACACCCCGACAGAAGACCCCATCAAGGGTGGAAGCTATTTAATGCTCCTTATCGATTTTGGTACTAAGATTGTCACTCCCAGCGCCCCCCCCCTAGTGAAGGTGAACCTCCACTCTGGTCAAGGAGTACCTCCACTCTGGTCAAGGAGTACCTCCACTCTGGTCAAGGAGTACCTCCACTCTGGTCAAGGAGTACCACCACTCTGGTCAAGGAGTACCACCACTCTGGTCAAGGAGTACCTCCACTCTGGTCAAGGAGTACCTCCACTCTGGTCAAGGAGTACCACCACTCTGGTCAAGGAGTACCTCCACTCTGGTCAAGGAGTACCACCACTCTGGTCAAGGAGTACCTCCACTCTGGTCAAGGAGTACCACCACTCTGGTCAAGGAGTACCACCACTCTGGTCAAGGAGTACCTCCACTCTGGTCAAGGAGTACCACCACTCTGGTCAAGGAGTACCACCACTCTGGTCAAGGAGTACCACCACTCTGGTCAAGGAGTACCTCCACTCTGGTCAAGGAGTACCACCACTCTGGTCAAGGAGTACCTCCACTCTCTGGTCAAGGAGTACCACCACTCTGGTCAAGGAGTACCTCCACTCTGGTCAAGGAGTACCACCACTCTGGTCAAGGAGTACCACCACTCTGGTCAAGGAGTACCTCCACTCTGGTCAAGGAGTACCACCACTCTGGTCAAGGAGTACCTCCACTCTGGTCAAGGAGTACCACCACTCTGGTCAAGGAGTACCTCCACTCTGGTCAAGGAGTACCACCACTCTGGTCAAGGAGTACCACCACTCTGGTCAAGGAGTACCTCCACTCTGGTCAAGGAGTACCACCACTCTGGTCAAGGAGTACCTCCACTCTGGTCAAGGAGTACCCACCACTCTGGTCAAGGAGTACCTCCACTCTGGTCAAGGAGTACCACCACTCTGGTCAAGGAGTACCTCCACTCTGGTCAAGGAGTACCACCACTCTGGTCAAGGAGTACCACCACTCTGGTCAAGGAGTACCACCACTCTGGTCAAGGAGTACCCCACTCTGGTCAGGAGTACCTCCACTCTGGTCAAGGAGTACCACCACTCTGGCAAGGAGTACTAGGAGTACCTCCACTCTGGTCAAGGAGTACCTCCACTCTGGTCAAGGAGTACCAAGGAGTACCCACTCTGGTCAAGGAGTACCTCCACTCTGGTCAAGGAGTACCTCCACTCTGGTCAAGGAGTACCTCCACTCTGGTCAAGGAGTACCTCCACTCTGGTCAAGGAGTACCTCCACTCTGGTCAAGGAGTACCTCCACTCTGGTCAAGGAGTACCTCCACTCTGGTCAAGGAGTACCTCCACTCTGGTCAAGGAGTACCACCACTCTGGTCAAGGAGTACCACCACTCTGGTCAAGGAGTACCTCCACTCTGGTCAAGGAGTACCTCCACTCTGGTCAAGGAGTACCTCCACTCTGGTCAAGGAGTACCTCCACTCTGGTCAAGGAGTACCTCCACTCTGGTCAAGGAGTACCACCACTCTGGTCAAGGAGTACCTCCACTCTGGTCAAGGAGTACCTCCACTCTGGTCAAGGAGTACCTCCACTCTGGTCAAGGAGTACCACCACTCTGGTCAAGGAGTACCACCACTCTGGTCAAGGAGTACCACCACTCTGGTCAAGGAGTACCACCACTCTGGTCAAGGAGTACCACCACTCTGGTCAAGGAGTACCTCCACTCTGGTCAAGGAGTACCACCACTCTGGTCAAGGAGTACCTCCACTCTGGTCAAGGAGTACCACCACTCTGGTCAAGGAGTACCTCCACTCTGGTCAAGGAGTACCACCACTCTGGTCAAGGAGTACCTCCACTCTGGTCAAGGAGTACCACCACTCTGGTCAAGGAGTACCTCCACTCTGGTCAAGGAGTACCACCACTCTGGTCAAGGAGTACCACCACTCTGGTCAAGGAGTACCACCACTCTGGTCAAGGAGTACCACCACTCTGGTCAAGGAGTACCTCCACTCTGGTCAAGGAGTACCACCACTCTGGTCAAGGAGTACCTCCACTCTGGTCAAGGAGTACCACCACTCTGGTCAAGGAGTACCACCACTCTGGTCAAGGAGTACCTCCACTCTGGTCAAGGAGTACCACCACTCTGGTCAAGGAGTACCTCCACTCTGGTCAAGGAGTACCACCACTCTGGTCAAGGAGTACCTCCACTCTGGTCAAGGAGTACCACCACTCTGGTCAAGGAGTACCACCACTCTGGTCAAGGAGTACCTCCACTCTGGTCAAGGAGTACCTCCACTCTGGTCAAGGAGTACCTCCACTCTGGTCAAGGAGTACCACCACTCTGGTCAAGGAGTACCTCCACTCTGGTCAAGGAGTACCACCACTCTGGTCAAGGAGTACCTCCACTCTGGTCAAGGAGTCCACTCTGGTCAAGGAGTACCACCACTCTGGTCAAGGAGTACCACCACTCTGGTCAAGGAGTACCACCACTCTGGTCAAGGAGTACCACCACTCTGGTCAAGGAGTACCACCACTCTGGTCAAGGAGTACCAAGGAGTACCTCCACTCTGGTCAAGGAGTACCACCACTCTGGTCAAGGAGTACCTCCACTCTGGT